CATTGCTGCACAATATCTGCTTCCCCAAAAGACACCCTGAACCAGAAGGCCTCCCTGCCCTTTTCTCCCCCAGCCCAGCCCCTGGCGACACACCCCAAAGGGCAATGCATTGCTCACAACCCAAGGCAAGTTGGGGGGTATTATTCATTTCTCTCTAGTCCCCAGGTCTCAATGTCCACTCAGTCCAGCGGCCCTGCCTGGCGGGAGTGGGGCCGGCCCCCGGCCTAAGGGGACGTGAGGGTCACTGAGCAGGCAGTGGAGATCGGGACCCGTGGCACCGACCGCACAGCGAGCCCCTCGGTGTTGCTTGTGCCTGCTGGGAGGTGGGGTCCCGCGCATGCGCCGTCTGCTGGGCCGTGTGCGCACCTGTGCAGGATCCACCTGCCTCGGACCGACCATTGGTTGGAGGACCGCGCCCACCCAGAGTGCATCTGTGCCACGTCCACCCAAAAGGTGGGCGCCGACCGGCCTTGCCGAACCACGCTAATGGAGTTCCTCCTCCAACCCCTCGTGGGACGGTCGGCAAACTGAGGGCAGGAGAGGCAGGGACTGGCCTGCGACCCACCAGGTGAGCAGAGGCTAGAGGAACAGGGAGGGTTCCATCTTCCGAGGCCAGGACTTCACCTCCCATGGGTTTTCCTTTGGGAATGAGGGCCCCTAAGATCCTGGGGCACCACTGCCCACACTCCCATGTGGGGCCCTTTCCTCCGATCAGCCTGGCATGGGCACACATACACACAAGTCTCTGCGTGCACAGACACACACACATACACAATCACAAACACACAATCTAACTCCCCAGGGGGGTCAAAGGGGGCGTGGATCCTGGAGGTGACAAGGGGGGAGGAAGGAAGAGGTTGGAGGCAGCGGGGTCCTGGGGTGTGGACATTGTCTCCTGGGAACCTGCCTGGGGCCATAGCATGGGGGATGGGGGAGACATGCCAGGCTGATGGCCAGGGCGTCCCCAAGATGCCCAAGGGCTGTCGTAGGCACCCGCATTCTAGAGACAGCCCCCTTCCACACAGGTCACTTGGCTGCAGATGCTCCAATCCTGCTGTATCCCGATGTCCCGAGGACGTGTCTCAGGAAAGCCGTTTCCTACACTGCAGACCTGGGGTCAGGTCTCACCCCTGACACCTCTGGCCATTTGCCTGGAGGGACCCAAAGGTAACACAGGGGGCCCAGAGCCAGCCAGGCCAGCCAGACACCGCTGTGATCCACAGACCCCAAACACCACATCCAAACACACACAGACACAGACACACACCCAACACACACCACACACATCACACACACACCAAAAACTGGTTGGGCTTCATTGACTCCACACATGGACTGGAAGACCCCTCTAGACATTTTGCATAATTCAGGGAACAGGGCAGACAAATCTCCCTGCCCCGCGGGCCTCTGTTCTAGGTGGGGTTCCACCGGGACCCCTAGGGACAAAGCAGAGTTGGGCACTGGACGTTGCGTGGGACGCCCTGCCGGCCTCCTCTAGACGTGGATCCCTCTGCTATCATTGTCCAAAGGATGACGGGCCCTAGGACGAAGAAGAGCCCCTGTCTCCAAGGTGGGGGACATCTGGGCTTTGGCGGGCCTGGGGGTGCTGGGCAGAGCCCTGGCTCCCCCGCGTCTGTCATGGCTGCTGGAGGG